CAATCCCCCTTGATCATGCTGCACATTTCGTCGGCTGCAAGAGGCAACCCATCAGTATCTTTCCCTGACACCCTGAATTTGCCAGCCATGCGAGAGGGAAAAAACCTTGAATCCCCTATGAGTCCCTTGAATCCCTGAAACAGAACCCCTAAAGGAAATCCTTATTGAAAGGAGCCCGCCACATAAACTTTTAAACCCTTTTTGGACCTTGAGTCAGGATCGGCGACGAAAGGTCGGTCTCCTCCTGTCACAAAGCGCCGACCTCAAGCTTAGCTCTTGAGCCCTAAGGCTGTTTAGGGGCCCTTGTAGGATTCTGGGCTTAGGGCATGTAGGTGCAGGGCCCTGGGCCTTCACAAACTTCGATATTGGGGTTTAGGGGTTAGGGGATATATAGGGTTTAGGGTGGTCAAGGCCCGATGCAAAAAAGGGGATATAGGGTTCAGGGTTTAGGGTTTCAGGGTTTCTGGATGCAAGAAGGGTTTAGGGGATAGTCTGAGCGCTCAAGACTGAAGCTTTCGGAGCCCGAAGTCTCCCTCGGCTAACCGCGCCATGGCTCGAAAAGTAGCCGTAGGCCCCATAGTAGTTCCTTTTTGGGATTACCTAAGAGAATTCACCCCCGTATACAAGGACTCGTAATAAGGAGCCCTAGAAAGGTAGGTTATTCAGGGTTAAGGGAATTCCTGCAGCCCACGAGGATCCATACGAGAACCTGTATTTGGTGGTGAGAGGGGAGACGCTTGGACCTTGAAGGGTTCAGGGTTTGGGAAGAATTTCTTGGACTTGTTCGAGCCCTATACATCAGGGTCTAGAGAGCTACGGTTTCATAAAGGCACTGGTACAGGGCGATGTTTTATATAAATCCTCCCCAAGGCCCTTTGGTCCAGTTGCTGAAGCGACCGCTTATGTAGTACAAGAAATAAAAACCATTTCCGGGTGCGTGATGTGCAACCTGGTGCACAAAATCGGTTGGTGGGGAGGTGACGTGAGGATTTCACGGCTAGCAGCTTGTGCTGTGTTTCCTAGGTTCTAGATTCAGGGTTCCATGCTCAGGGTGGGACAGCAAAAGCCGAGGAAGCTCTTCACTCTGATGCCACCGGCAAGTGCACCTTTTCTGTGCCTCGGTACAAATTTCCCACAAGAATATGTACATGGCTCGGATTCGAAGTGTAATACAGGGCCTCAATAATTACCTATATATACTATTTTGTTTTGGGGGGGTTCCTTTTTATAGCTATAGTATAATATACCCCAAAACCCTATTCTAATTATTAAGGCCCCTATATCAGGTTTTAACGAAGCCCATGGATTGCTGGCTGGTCAAGCAGATTGGGGCATGAGAACGATTTAGGTGGACAAGTCGCAGTTGCTGTGAGCTGGAAGCTTCTTACGAGGGACATGTAGCGTTTAACTTTCAGCAGTTGTCTTTGTAGCTTACGACAATCAATCCTACGTGAGCCCCGAATCATAGTGGCTTGCAGCAGAAGGCAATGAATTGTGGGGATACGCTCTCTCGGGGAATATGGATAAAGCTTCGAGTTGCGCGTCCTATGTGGTGAAGAATGTCAAGGGGCGATCTAGGCGCCGACATACTCGGGCTTTAGCAGCTGTAACATGTGTGTCCGAGCCAAGACAAGCCAGTGGGTTTGAAGACAGTTCAGACACTTCGGAATAGACACCCTAGAAGCCCAAGGCTGCTTCGTCTGGGCCGGATTCTGCCCGCAGGCACGAGCAGCTGTGTTCCTCTGCATCCCTCGTGCGACAGCCGGACGGGAAGCCCGGTCTGCAACGAGCCTCTACGACTTGATCGAGCGCTAACCAGTCATTATGATTTAGGGTCTAGAGTGTGATTAATCCACACCTCTGGAGCCCGTGAGGAACCTGCAGCCGATCCTGGACGATGCTCCTCGGGTACCCTGGACTCACGGACTGCAATCGGAGTTCGATTTTGTCGGTTGCATTTTTGGTGCTTTGGAGCTTTGGGTCGTCAAGCAGCAGCTGGTACAAGACGGCTTCGGTACTACTAGACGTTTTGTTTTGTTGCTGCTCGGAAAGGGGAACGATTTTAATTTTCCCAAGTATCAAGAAAGCTTCCTGTTGAAACGCAAGGATTCCGTTCGACGTTGCCGGTGAGGTGGACTCTGCCAAGCTTCTTGCCATGTCCATATGGCCGAAGCCACAGACTGTATAAGCTCTGAACTATGAACTATGCATGTGCGGTCAAAGGGAGTGGAAGGCCTTTGGCTGGTCTTCACCTAGAAAAACTCTCTTCAAGTGCGACCGCAACCCGGATCTCAAATTTGGGCCTTCAGAACACTATACGTTGCACAGGGCTCCTTGATTTCTGCGCGAACCCGCATGTATATCCTGGCAGCCTCACCTGTCATCCAGCTTGCTCCAAGTGTTCCAGGATTCCGATTTGAAGTTGCAGCTTTGAGTCATCTGATGTACAGACCTAGGACAGGCTGCAGAACTCGGACAATGCTCGCGGTTCTTACGCATTGAATTGGGGCGGCAGGACGGACAAAGAAGCATGGACAACCCGATCATTTTAGTCAAGCCAGCTTGCAAGGTTCCCATTATACGCGCGCTTTCGGCAGCACTTGGCGGTGGAGGCAGGCTGCAGCACCGAAGTTCACCGAAGAATGCACATGCATAAGTGTGTGGGAAGTGCATATGCATGTGTGTATGAGTAGGTGCTGCAGCACTCAAGCATGGTTCCGCTCGTGTCTCTATTCGCTCTGAACTGCGCACATACCGATGCATCTGTTTGACTTCCAGCAAGCGAACAGTCTTTGCATGTTCCCCCTAATTCCGGGACCCAGGAGTGCATAGCCTGAATCGGCATGCGAAGGTCCCCTGAAGCCTTAGCCGTTAAGCCCTAAATCCTCTCTCCTGTACGGGTGACCAGAGGTTGTCCTCACTCATCACAGCACTGAGAAAAATAAAGCCCTGAGAGATTGGGAACCCCACATTGTGGGACATGGAGTAATGACTGACTACATGGCGGCCATGTAAACCCTCGAACCCTGAAACCCTTAAGCGCTAAACTCCTGAAGCCTCAATAAAAACTCTTGCAGCCTACCTTATAACCCGGAATAACCTACCTTTTAATTGAGGACCTATACAAGAAGGAAATCATAATAGTGAACCCTATAAAGGTAGATTATTCAGGGTTAAGGTAAGACTTAGACCAAAACATCGATGAACCCTGAGGTCGCTGTGGGCCCTGGCGAGCTTTTGCAGCTCTTTCGACAATTCTTGGCGTTTCTTAGGGTTGAGGGGTCTGCATAAGTTTTACAATGGTTTTCTTAAAACTGCTTGGCGACTATATTCGGTCACAGGTTGTCTAAGTCTCCGCGTTTTCCTTAGAAGCTGAGCGTATGGGTTTCAGCTTTCTGGGCACGTGTAAGCAGAGCATCGTTGATTACGGTGATTACAGTATCTATCCCATGTTGTTTGTACGGCTTAGGTATCCTGCAACGTTAGGTGGGTACAATGAAAGAGGTCATTTCAAACTATATGGTGCTTAGAACATACTTGCCCACAACAGTGTTCGGGAGAGCGATGGTGCCGAAAACTTTGCATTCGTGGTAGCCCTTCCGGAACATGGCCGCACATGGCCGCACCCCCAGCCCCGGCTTTAACTATGCTTGAACCAGGTGGGAGTTTCCGAAAACTAGGGGTACCTTATTTTGGGGTCCTTATAATAAGGATCCTATTATATGGGGTACTATATTAGGGTCCCCTATTTTCGGAAACTCCCAGGTACCTGCCGGCCCTGTGGTACCATCGCACCTTGACGGCAATATACAGAAACAGGCCCCATTCCGAAGCAATGTCCCAGGATTGTAGGCTCTAGGCGTTTGGTCCCATTATACCATGATTATGATAAGGACCACCTCCAAGACAGTATAGGTAATTATTCGGCCCCTAAATTAGGGTATTCTGGACTGGCCGAGGAGTGGCGCAACGAGGTATTACCATCGCTGTGAACTACTGGCATGATATGCAGATCGGCCATGGATATGTTCACCACCAGTTGATACGTGATATCTTCGGACTCGATGTGGAGGCATCCGACTCAGAGGAGGGCTCTGACTGAAGCTGTGCATGGCTCCTACGGGAAGATCCTCCAGGTCCTTCAGTGATGGGCAGCTGGAAACTTAGGGGTACTTAGAAATAAGTTTTAATTTTTTGTTATTATAATCCCTAAGAAACGGCTAAAATTATGATTTTTGCTAGGGTTCCAAGTTCAGTATAGGAAATATGAGCAGCCGGACTGCTTACAATTGTTCGCCGTGACTTTCATGCTTGGCGGAGCCTTCACGATTGCCTTCGCTGCCTGCAATTCGTGCACTTGCCTTGGGCCACGAGCTGGTCCTTCCTCCTCAGCTTTGAGATCGGATGACGCTTTTGCAAGTATGTGGCTTCTGAAATACTCATCTGGGCAATGTGCTACAAGTAACATCCGAGCGGCCGACGTGACGACAAAGGTGCTGGTACTGTGGCCCTGTTGAGCTCGGCCGCTAGCCACTGGCGCACCCATGCCTCTGTTCGATGCGCGGGCATAGCAGATTGTACAGTAACGGGCCTGATTCTGGTATTGTGCCTTAACCCTGAATAACCTACCCTTTTGGAGACTTATATAAAGAAATCATAGGGGGCCCCTAAAAAGGTAGGTTCCTTAGGGTCCAGGTGCTTTAGGCTACTCTAGACTCTATAAACAGAGCTGAACGCCTCCGCAGACTGCGGTTCTCCAGTGATTGGTTCCTGTCGCGAACGAAAACCCATGCACTACGGCTGCAGCCAGCCCTTCAAAGCGGCCAAGGTTTCTTACTTGGGAGTTTCCGAAAACTAGGGGTAGCTTATTGCAGGGTCCTCATAATAAGGATCCTACTATTTAGGGTACCCTTTTAGGGTCCCCTATTCTCGGAAACTCCCACATGGCTTTGAATCACGCAGTGCATGCGCAGACACCAGCGAGATGTCACCTCTGCCAGGTGATCTCGACCTATGCGGTCCGCGGCAAAGAGAAGAAAGGCCGGACTTGCCGGTTATCGATGTCTGGCCGTCGCAAGGCTAGAGTAGAGATTTGCAGTTTTAGCAAAAATCGGGCTCCAGCGGCCAAGAGCAGCAGGTTTAATTACAGGTGAGCTCCATGTCTTCTTCCAGCAGAGGTTTGTCACTGGCTTGTTCAAATTGACTCTCAAAACATCGCGGCTGTTCCAAGCTAGATTCCCCGTTCTTGACTGGCCCTGCTATGTCCCAACGGCGAACCCCCCTAGCCCTAAACCCTAAACCCCCCACCTCAACCCAAAACCCCAAAGAATCCCAGAAAACTTGGACCTCTCAAGGCACAGGCCGCTTTCAACTCTTCGAGGACACATGCAGGGAGTAGCAGTTTTGGCGGTCTAACTGTAGGGTTTTGATACTGTTACCAAGGTTTCCTGACTCCTAAACTTGGGAAGTAAGGCCTCCAAGCCCAAAGGCAGGCGACAAACAGTGGCTTCTGAAATCTATCTCCATCGAAATCCGGAAGTGAACAAGGTCGCAGAACCGTTTGTTCCGATTTGGGAAGTCTAGCCCGGTGTAGCGGGAACTCTACCTTGGGCTTGTGTCGCAGGATGGGGTTGCTACATGGCTGGGCCTGTTACGCGGCACGAAGAGCTTTTGGCCTGGGTGACACAGAGGCAGGCTGTTAGAAGCGGCTAGTGGCGTGGCAGAAGGGTTTCATGTCTAGGCAAAACAAAATCGAAAACCCCGCAAAACTTGATGAAGCCTCCAAGGCCATGCGCAGGCATTTGCTGCGTGCATCCCTGGATCCGAAACCCCGCCAGGACGCCAAGAAGCGCGGCTACGGCGGTCGCTCTGCAGGAGCCAAGCTGCGGCGTCACAACGCCCGGGATCTCAGTTTCTGGAAGTTGCGGTCCGGGTTCTTGCAGCTCTTGCGAAGGGTCTTGCATCACTGAAAGCAGGGATCATCCTGGGGAGGGTGTAGCTTTTGTTGCTGTTCAAGGTTCAACGTCAGGCTTCATCAGGCTTTCCTCTTGAGGAATTTGCCGGTGCACTGTAAACAACGTGCCAGTGTTTACAGGGGTTCTGGGTGTCGTAACGGCTTGTTGCTGGGCTTCCAACTTTACTTATGTTTCGTCCCGGGATGGTGTCTTGAGTTCTTGCCTAGTTCTTAGAGTTTCGAAAGTATTGAAGCCCTGAACTTTGGCACCTCTCAGCATGTGACCATCATACAGTTCTGAAATGCAGGCGAAGCGTTTCTTCGAGAAGATCAACAGCAAGCGCCAGCCCCAGAAGAGGCTGAACTGCGGGTCTCAGCATACGCCCATGAGCGATCACGTTCCCTGGGAGCCCTAGGCGGACGTCATGGCTTGTTCCGATGTGGGAAGTGAGTAGGCGTCGATTGAATCCAAGAAGCCAGCTGCATCACACTTGCTGTCACTGCTTGCCCTGTCTAAGCCTACATGTTGCTACAGCATGCTACAGCCATAGATATCCATAGATTACTATGCCTTTGTTCTTGAAGTGTTTCAGATTAGGATCCACAGTTTCATCCCGATCCTGGGCGGGTCATTACAGGGGTTTGCATTAGCTTCATCCCGACTGCTCAAGTCAGAGGCGGCTCACCAATCTTGACCCGCAGCATTGCCGCAACAAGACCGTGATGCGTAGTCACCTGATCACACAACGAATCCAATCGAACTGTTCCAGACATACCACACCAAGGGGAAAGTAGACGCCGGTTCACGTGTCATGGTTCTGAGTCAGTGTCTCTTGAGCCTTAAGCCCGGAAACTTTGATGGAGAAGTCCCATGGCAGAGAAAAATGAAATCTGCAGCTCACGATTGTTCAGGATCCGACCTATACACCCAACCCCAAAACGGATTACTTACAATGCATGGGATTTTGGAAGAGTAGAAGACTTGGAAGAGTAGGAGAGTAGCAAGACAAGGGCCTATCACGCTGCCCAAAGCCGGAAATCACCATGCAGAGCCGTGACTTTTTTAGACCCTCTCCGAAGACCTAAACCCCCCTACAGACTACGTAGTTCCAGCTGCGGTAGTAGAAATCGCCTGCAACCCCCAAACTCGGCCCTGCAGTCTAAAACTGAAACTCTTAGCCCCAGAGTCCTAAGCCCATCCAGCTAGGTTCGATGAGTGGGGTGTCTGGCTCAGAGCTGTCTGCGAGTTCGGCTTGCCAGAGCTTTCAGTTTAAGTCTAAGTTGAGCTACGGCAAGTAAATGCTTTTTCAAATGTTTCAATTTTCATTGAAGGGTACCTATAACATCAGCTACATTAGACGAAGACGCTGTTCGGTTTCGGATTGAGTGATTTTGGGGGGTGTTCTGTTTGAATGTTTAGAGCTCTAGCCGTGTCTTTGGAGTTCAGAGCTCCAGAAGGGTGTCCAGAATGGCCCGAAAGCCCTTGCAGGGTCCCTAAAAAATATCTGGACTGGGACGAAAAGAGGGAGTTCACTGATGGGATTTTCTCTGCGGTGGTGTCGATTGCTAAGCACCTCCTTGCACTTTTCCATGTGGTTCATGGAGGAGAAGAAAGGAAACGCGAGGTGTACTGTGCGATCGTGGTGGTGGTAGTGAAATCAGGAACCCCCTTTCAGATAGGCGAATCAGCAGACAGACATGCACCCTAGTTCCCGCAATCAGGGTTTAAGGGTATATAGGGCTTTTGGGATCATTTACGTGTCTCGGGGTCAAAAGGCTTTACAGATTCCGGGCGTTGGGGAGTTGGTGGTTTGGGTGCCAGAAAGGGCTTACCGGCTGAGTGCCCACTTCCTTTGAGCCCGAACCGACCTGAACGGTTTCCGAAGCATGACCCCAACAGCCCGAAGGCTACTAGGGGAAGGGGGGGTTGAGGGTTTGGTAGGGGTAGAGGGCTTAGGGAGGCCTGAGGGTGTAGGGGTAGAGGGATTAAGGCTTAGGGGTATGAAATAAAGAAAGGCCTTGAACTTCGCCGTCTTTGGAAGGAAGATCCCGAGGCAGAGGCATCGGAAGACTCTGACTTATCTGAGTGTCTCTTTGGTAGGCATCCGAGAAGCAAGGCCCACTGCTTCAGATAGAAGCATGACTAGTTGCCTACATTAGTTTTTAGGGCTCCTTAGTATCATAAAATAATCTACACTCTCCCTACCGCACAACCGTTGGTAAGGCCCCACATTACATGGGGCTGAGTGAGGTTTAGATCGGCATGTTCAGGGTTTCGGGGTTTGATGCTCTGGCTGCCTTCGTGGTTTAGGAGGAGTTTTGAAGGGACCATTGGCAAGGAGCAGTCATGGTTCTAAGGCGATCAGCCATCCGATTTCGCTGTTTCTGGTCGCCACGATACCTGGCCCAAACTCGCTTCAGAGCTAAGCAAGCATCGTGGAGCATCTCGAGTTTCTGCGTATTGTCAGCATGCCACAAGAGAAACTTCTGTACCCGCTGGCATTTCACAATGCAGTTCCGGATGTAGGAAAGCGAAAGACCCCAAACAGCAAAAAAAACAATCGCAGTCGTAGTTCCTGGCCAGGGCGCTGTGAGGGGATGGCCACCCACTGCCGAGCGGCCCTCAGTGCTTTCTGATCCCCAGCCCTGAAGGCCCTACCAGCCTATAAGCCCTAAGCGCTGAACCCGAAACAGACGAACTTGGAGGTGGAAGTACTCCAGTCGGATAAACTGCGGCACTCGCCTTTGCAGTGAGCCTTCGTGTAAGTTGCTTTCCTGCCCGAGCCTTTGCCGAAACCCTCGAACTTACTTCCATCTTGCCGTTTCGAAGCATGCCAGGTGTTTTTTGCAGGCGATCTGCGATTACGGCGGATGCTCTTAGCAGAGGCCTCAGTTTCCACATGGTCAGGTTGGGTTTTAGTTTAAGTGTTAAGGTTCAGAGTTATAAACCTAGGGTTTTTAGTTTTTAGATTTGTCGATTTTTTTTCGTGATTTAGGCGTTGGGTCCTTTGTCATGAATGCCCTACCAGTGTAGGTCTGTACCTAGGGACCCACCACTTTTCCAAGATTGCGGGGTGTTTGTCATGCGGCTTGTCAGCCTTAGCAGAACACGGTTTCAATCATTGGAGAGTTAGAGATGAGGATGAAGATGGATTGTGACGCAACCTCGCACACACAGCAGCTTATGCATGTTTTGTTTTGACAGTACAGTAGTGTATTTTCTGTTTTGACAAACCCTCAGCCCATAATCCGAGCTAGTGTGCGAAGGACTGCAAGAATCCGAAGTGCCCGCTGCCGAGCGTGCTGCCGGACGTGTTTGTCAGCTTCGGTGTGCTGAGGATAAATCATGATCCAGTAAAATTATGGGGGCTCCTTATTATAATTCTAGTATAATGCGTCCCAAAGCCCTATTCCAATCACCAAGGCCCCTGTATGAGGATAAGACCTCCCATCGAACTCCAAAGAGCTAGAGGCCTGGTCCGCAGGTTTAGGGGTTTGGGGTTTAGGGTTTTGGGTGTTTGGGAGCTTTTGGCGTAATTTCCTCCAGGTCCTCGCAGCAGCCCCAGGGTGCGATCGTTGGTGTTTGTGCGTGCGTGCGTGCGTGCGTGGGTGTGTGTGTGTGTGTATGTGCATTTGTTTGCGTGTGTGTGTGTGTGCGCGTTGTAGAAAGGTTCAGGTGTAGGATGATTATCAAGATCCGTTTGCTCCAGAGCGGATCTCTTGTTTGACATCTCCCAGTGTGTTATACTGCGTATCCATATGAGTAATCAGTTGTCAAAATAGACCCTAAATAATATGTGTCGTATTATGATAGGGAACCTGAAAGGGACCATAGTTTTGACAACCACTCATGTACTCACTCAGTCTGAGCCTTCTTGATTGGAGCCTGTGGCGCCGATGAGAAGGCTCGGGCACGGGTCGATAAGACCGCTGGAGGCATCCGTATAGGCTTTATAGTCCATAAAGACAGATCTCAAAACAGACGTCACGGATGGTGCAAAGATACAGGGTATTACATGGTTCCACAATGCAGAGCACATGTGTTCACATTGTGACAGAAGTGCATTGGAGCAGCATGTTAGGCCTGGGAAGACAGAAGCCAGCCCAACGCGTGCAATAGCCGCTAGCCTCTATAAACCCTACAGGTAGCTACTAGTTGCTTAAGAAACCCACAAAAAATGAAAATAATAATCCCTATATTACCCCCATAAGGAATATATTTGTTATTTTTGGGGGTTCTTAAGCAAATAGTAGGTAAATCGCCAGACTTGTCCCAGTTGTGAGTGATGAAATTCCCCCGAAACCTTCGCAACCGCAAAGACGCTTAGATGGCCCGAGCCGGAGACTCTTGCGGTCAGACAGCCACCCTGCAAGGCGTACCTAAGTGTAAGTCAGAAGTTCCCTGTTACCTGAAGGGCTACTGTAAAAAGCCCAAAACGACGGCAGCCTTGCAGGTCTTGTTAGCCGAGCCAAGAGACCAGATGGGCGTGAAAATAAAAATAGGTAAATCCACATATAAAACGTACGCATGCGTCACTATAAACATACAGCGGCGATAGCCCCGGCCTCACTGTTCAGGCCTCTATGTCAGGCCGAAGTGATGACCCAGGAGGCCTTTAGGCGCTATGTGGCTTTCGAAGTGCGCCCCGAGTGCTTCCGACAAGGAGTCCGGCTGCTTACAGCGATGCGTCGAGGTCCAACGGCCGGCCCAGCGCCAGTCGAAGCCGCAGCCGGTACAGGAGAACTTCAATCATAATGGAAGTGATCATCCCGCCGGCGGCCAAAGCCCATCCGGGAATACACGAGGCGCGAGAGTCACGTCGGAGCTGTTACCAGCATTCAGAGGAGTCGGCGTTTGGAGTTCCAATTTCTGTCATGTGCTTTTTTTATGCGGGGGAGGGCGGGGGTTGCGGCCTGTGCATCTTGTAACCTGCATCAGAGACATTGAGACTATTTCTGCATGTCGTCGATGCTTGCAGCTGGGTTCATGCTTGTATCTGCATGCTTTGTAAACGACATATATACTACTGACTAGTGTAGCTTCTAGGTATAAGCACAGTTCGCTGGATTGTTGCCTAAAGGGAACTCCAGAAAGTTGGACTATGGTTTCAGGGTAGGATACCCTATAATTTTACCATAAAGGGTTTAGGATAATCATATTCCAACTTTCTGGCTTTGACTATAGTACAGAGAGACAGACAGACCGACGGACAGAGGACCGGACGGTTCCTGACCTGACCACCATACTCAACGAGAGTCATAGGGATCCTTAGGGGTGTAGGGGGAGGGGGGGCCTTAAGGCCCATAATAAGGACTAATAAGGCCTATTTAAGGAAATATAGTCCCCTACACCCCTCCCCCCTACACCCCTAAGGATCCCTATGACATACTCAACGAGAGAGGGAACAAGAGATAGATACATGTATAGATACATAGACAGCTAGATGGATAGGTACAAGAACGCTTGATAGATGCGCAGATAGAGATACACAGATCGACAGATAGATAAGCAGTTCGATAGATCGATGCATCGAGAGATAGACAGATAGACAAACTGGTCCATTGATTGATAGACTAACTAGCTTACAGTTAGACTAGTGTACATTCGGTTAGATCAGATCGGATCCAGATCGGTAGATAGTTCGACAGATAAACCAGGAATTACAGCGATAAAGAGACACATGTTACATAGAGGTTGAGTGAGATGGAGGAAGAGATAGAGAAAGAGAGTGAGATAGAGGGATGTGTCTGGCGGGTCACCAGAGCAGGTGCACTTTCATGAACCAATGCATCCCCCGATCCTCAAACCCCGAGTCCCCGGAGAATTTTAATAGAGAGGGCCTTAAGCATTAATTAACTATACTAATTTGGGTGTGTTCCCTATTATAATTATAGTGTCACGGGCCCCAAAACCCTATTCTAATGATCAAGGCCCCTATACTACAAACTGACAACTCAACTCCGTTTTTTGTTTGGAAGGCAAAGAAGTGATGGACGGACTGCCTTCGGTTTCGGCATCTTTGAAGACCGAGCAAAGCGTGACACCGTCAGCGGAGCCGGACCCATCATTTAAGCTCTTGCCATCGATTTCCAGCAAGGAGAGTGAGGCAGAAGTGCTCAATGACCTGGAGGCTGCCATTGAAGTGCAATCTGGAGGCACCTGGAAAGTCTTATACCCCGGCAGGAGCGTCATCGTCCGCGGTGACGAGTCGGTGAAAGTCCGATTGCGGGAGGTCCCGCAGATTTCTGGCACCTGCTCTTTGTCGGGCAAGCTTCATGCAGCACGTAGCTTTGGCGAGAAGTTCGGCTCCGATTCAAAGCAGTGGATGCAAAAGGAGAGGAGGGAAGCCCTTCTTGAATCAAGCCAGAGGCGCAGACGTCAAGAGCAATTAGAGGCAGTGATGGCGCAAATGCAAACCATGGGTGGCCGTTCCAGCCTGCGTGGGCGGCTTGCAATGTACATCGCCATTGCCATTCCCATTCTTGTCGCCCTTATGCTTGTCTGTGCAGTTCTGCAGCCGGCAGACTCTAGACAGGGTGTACTTATCAGCGCAGCGGCTGTAATCTTACTTCTCGGCATCAACACAGGCAATGCCCGTCTTTGGCTCATTGCCGAGGGGGCGTCAGCTCCTATCCACGCCGTCTTCAAGTACTCGCACTCTTGCCAACAGCCGCGCCTTCGAGTCTGCATCTTGGTGTCATGGAGCATCGCAGCCCTGAGCTTGCTGGTCACCACCATCAACCACCTGACCCTGGGACTATGGCAAGGTGCACTTGTCATTTGGCCTGGGGTTTCCTGCTGCATCATCGGCATGTACATGTGCTATGACGGCACCGTCAAACAGCTTGTTTCAATTTCGGAGCCTCCCCCCGGAAAGTCGAAGCACCGGAAGGTCGGGGGGAGGACCCTGATTTTCGAGGGAAGAGTCGTTCCTGGACAGGCCTGCATTTGTTCCTGGCCCGGGAGATACTGGGTGGCACTTCGGGATGGCTGCTTACTTTCCCTTGTCATGTTGTTCGCACCTATTGAATAAAAGTGCCTGCCCTAAAGCTGCCAGCTAACACTCAGGATATGAGTCTGCATTCGAAAAGCTTGTGGCCAACTCAGACCGTGGTGCGGCCACAGTGTTCTTGCCAGAGTGTGCAGCATCACATGGAAAGCACAGTACCATTCCACGAAGCGAGCAGTTGGATGGCGAGTGTTGGTGCATCCCACTTTACGGTACCAAAAAGCCCTGGGGATGCAAATGGTGGACTCTTTGGACCGCCAACGTTGAGAAAGCCGCCTGCCAGGGCTCCGAGATGCAGGTGGTCTTTTGGAAGAACCGCCGTGGCCAAGGCAAAGTAGGGAGCTTCGCGACCGTGGGAGAGGAAAACCTGCGCCGCGATGCTTTGGAGGAAGCTCGAACCTGACTTGAGAAAGGCTTTAGTGTTCCTGGGTTCAACCAAACTCCAACCACCTAGCAACATATGACACAGACGAAGAAACCTATTCAGTGACACCACATCAACCAGGAACGGAGGCTCAGCTACTTCAAATCCCCCGCTTTCCAGGAGGCCCTGGCTGTAGGCCTGGATGGTCTCTCGAAGGATCTGGGGGAAGACGGCACTTCGCAGTACAGCCGCGAGGCAGATCGCCTTTTTCTGGCCTCCCTTTCCGGAGAGGATCGCAGCTTCTGGGCTCTTGTTAAGGAATGGTTTTTTTAAGTTGCCATAATCGGGATCTATATAGTAAATAATAGGGAAATCCTTATTATGGTAACTTAAACTAAACCCCAACCCTTGAGGGAACCCTTATAGATCCCTTAAAGGAACCCTTACGTAAGGGAACCCGGAACCCTTATAAATAAATATATATATATGATATATAATTGTATATACACACATATATACATATACACACCATTATGGTGCCTTAAATTAGACCCCTAAGCAAGAGCCCAGGCTTCCTCCAAGCTTCCGAGGGCCTCGGGGCCTCCCAAAAGGCGGAAGTCGCTTGGCTGGAGCGGAAAGGCCACCGGTACACGGAGCTCGAGGTCTGACTGCTCTCAGGGGGTGGGGGGTTGGAGTTGGAAAAGAAGGGTTATAATTAATATATATATATATATATATATATGTATATGTATATACCTATATATATATATATATATATATATGTATTTATATATATATATATATGTATATATGTATATAGATAGATAGATTGATTGATAGATATTATAGGCTTTCCTGGTGTCAAAGGTGGGGTTGCATGGAATCTCATGGTGGCGGCTTTTGCACTGTTGCGCCATGCAGCGAAGAAGACAGCAAGGGTAAGTTTCACGAAAGATCGCAAGGGAAAGGCCTCGATCAAGACCAGCACATTCAGAGTGTTTGACTCCCAGTCGAACATACAGTGACGTAGTATAGGGGCGTAAATTATTTCCAATACTATTTTGGGGGGGCTCCTTGTAACTATAGTATAAAATATCCCGAAACCCTATTCGTATGATTAAGGCCCCTATATTGCCCTGCTTCCTGCTGCTCCCCAGACTGTGATTCTTCTGCTGTTGAAACATGACAGCATCTTGCCGGAGAACACGGCCTGCTGTCGCAGGTAGAACCCAAAGGCTCCGTGTACCTTTATGCAAGCAGTAGATACTTAAACCTTAATAGGGTCCCTATATAGGTACTTTAAGACTTAAGTATATACTATATGGGTACATGGAGCCTTAAGGGGAAGCTGCAGAAGCGAAAAGGGCTCACCCCTGGGCTTCGAACTGTCTTCGTTGTGTTGAGAGGGCTGTTGTCTTGGCTGGGACATCACCAGTCCTATAGAATTCTCGTCACCTCAAGGTCTAGTCTAGTCAAGGAATACTGCTGATTTTTTGCGCCGGCATCTTCGATAAGCGTCTCAGACAGTACTTAAGAGATATTGGCATTTGACTCTCCGTGCAGACGGGCTGGTGATCGGTGTTCTCAATTTGTCAAAGGCAGGTGTTGGTGGGTTTTGCTGTTTAGGGCCTGGGGCTTCATGCGTTTCAGGGCCTAATACTGACGAAGGCAATGAACTTAATTAGAACAGGGTTTTGGGGTATATTCTATTATCATACTATAATTAATTAGAATAAGGACCCCCCCCCAAAATGTATATTATGCTATTATACGTTAATGAATTAGAATAAGGACCCCCCCAAATGGTATAGGTAATTATTTCGGCCCCAAAAAGTAGACCACGGACTGACGGGTGCTGGCAGGGCGTAGGTCAGGCACACATTTGCGCTTCAGGTTCTCTTTGGATGCTGGTGCCCAGAGACTCCAATATCCCTTAATTCAGGCGTATAGGATTATACCTTAAATTATAGTAGGATCCTTAATATGATTGAAGGTATATTCCCTGATTAAGGGATATTGGATTCTCTGGTTGTTCATGGATGGAATCGGCTTCACAGGTGTAGCCAAAAGCAGACCACACGTTATTGACTTTGTTGTGCTGGACGGAAGGTCATGTTCGTAGATGCAGTTCTTGAGCTTGCTTGAGTTGGGGTCTCTCGTAGAGGGCTTAACTCCAAACTGTGTAGATAGGCGACCCTACTTAGAGGCCCAGAGGACTTAGTAAGTCTGTTCTATTGATTACTTGTAAGTCTACTTATAACCTACTTACTAAGTCCCCTGGGCCTCTAAGTATTGACAGTTAAGACCATCCGCTTCCGCCAGGACACGAAGCTGTGGATCAAAGTCCCCGCTCCCTTCTCCGAAGCGGATCCTTCTCTCGAGGCTTCCAAGTTCAGGGTTTAGGTTTAGGGGTTTAGGTTAGGTGCTGCCCCCATACAGTAAGAGTCTATAATAGGGCTACTAAGGTCCTAATATAGACTTACTGAGTGGGGGCCGCACCCAAGGTTTAGGGAGGAAGGATGTGGAGGCCTGTGCCGGTTCTATGCGGATTTACAAGGACCTGGGCTTTGCGACTGTCGGTGCCATTGCCTCCAATCTCCATGGCTTCTAGTTCCCACAATTCCTGTGCCGGAAGTTTCAGAGTCAGGGCTTGGAAACCATGGAGGATCCGGTCATGTAGCCTTGAATCATTGGCTTCTTCCATGCAACACTGCTGACACACGACGTTAGAATCTTTAATGTGCCGAAGAGATTGACCCTTGAGTTCACAATTTAGAGTTTTTTCGTCTCGGACAACAGACTGCCAGACACCCACCGGTAAGAGAAAGGGGCCTCAATAGCTAGCATATGGTTTTGGGGTTTATTGCAGTAGAATCCCTATAGGGACTACGAGGGGAGACTATTTCCAGTCATCTCTGTACACCCCCTATAAGCACTCTGACTCATATCTGATAGCATCATTTCAAGCTCTGTAAAACATTGTTTGAAAGCCCTAAACCTGGGGTACGGCCCTTTTATCAGTAACAGTTGGATAATATACATAATATAGGTATATTAGGCCCTTAATAGTAGCCCTATTATAGACTGTTACTTTATGGGGGCCGTAACTACCCAACCTAAACCCTCTAAGACCGTATTTAAAACAAGCTCCTGTCAGGCCCTCCAGAAGACGGCCGAATTCCTTTGCTGCGGGGAGGTGGCCACTGTGGACTCCTGTCCCGCGCCGGAGATGGGCGAACAAAGGGGCTTGCAAAATGTGGACCAATGATCACAACAAGAATTATAGACGTAACATTTATACGAATCGTAAGAATAGTATAGCGATAAAGCCGACGAAATAGTACCCAGAAAAAGTAAACCGATATAACAAGTGAGCGTTCTCATCCAAAACGTCAGCGAGTAGCGCAGCATCGAAAAAAAGTACACGTTCGAACCTACTGCCGAAATGGTGGAGCAAGCCTATAATCAAAGTGCCATTAGGGTGTCCTGAAAATCTGTGAGGCAGTTCTGGAGGTCCGAGGATTTAAAGGTATTTCGTTATGAACGAGTTGAGTCTCAAGTTTGCTGTTGTCTTGCGAAGACCTTAAGGTTCCAGCTTGCCGGCACGCATTCCAATCCCGTTCTGCAACAAGGGGAATCACCGGAGTTTCAGAAAACCAAGGCACCTTATCTGGGGCCCCCATGGCTTAATTTGCAGATTGCTATATCCGTTGGGGAGACAGCGTGTTCGGTGAAGCTGATGGGTCGTGAGTGTGCAGCTGGGCAGAGCGTACGTGTAGTGGGACTATAAGCCGATAGATATTTGGCCGTCGCTGCCAACGTTTGGCTTTGCTACTTTCTATGGTCTCTTCAGATTCCTTTATTTGGAATATATATATATATATATATACATATATATATATATATATATATGTTGTGGGCAGCCTCTTTGAGCTCCAGATTTGCTTTCGGGGCCCTGGTTGTCAGGACTTTTCTTACTTGTAGCTTGGGTATGGCCCCCACTGAGCAATAGTTGAATAATATTCATAATAAAGATATATTAGGACCTGAATAGTAGCCCTAGTATAGACTATTACTGTATGGGGGGCAGTGCCTGACTTGTAGCTTTGTTGCGCCGAACGGATGTAGCATGCGTTAAACATTGGTATCAGGCTTCTAGGGCTCACCTGGGGAGTTTCCGAAATTTAGGGTGTACCTTATTTTGGGGGGTCCTTATAGTAAGGATCCTACCATGTCAGGGTCCCCTATTTTTGGAAACTCCGACCTATGGTGGATCATGTTTTATTTGTTTCACGTGGGTGGGGAGTACATATCAGTCCGCTGACGGTAAGACTGTGTCAGTGTTCACCCGAAGTACCTGCACAGCTGCCACATGTTTCTCCAAGGAGAAGTCGTAGTTCAATTTTCCGTCATGACAAGCAGAAGGCTCGTCCACACAGCTTTGGCCGCAGCTGCGTCGACAAACAAGGAAGCAGGACCAGTTGTTGACGGCTTACGCTGGTGAGGTGATTTCGCACATTGGGGCTTTATAATCTGTGCAGTTGCCTGGAACTTTGTGCACTCGGGGTAGTCCCTCAGCTGGACAAAGCCATGGAGCTTGCCAGCCTGGAGCTTGGCCCGCTTCGGCACTGATTGCCGTGAGATTAAGCGCATCGCCCCTAATGCTGCGCCGCATCAGGACCCGCTAGTCGTCCTTGCAAAGCACATCCTGAACTCCTGAACTGTAAATGCCTCGCAACTGTGACTCTGAACCAATAGAGCTGAGTGCGTCACGTTTGAGTCAGATTATCGTCTGGTGCACTGGTGCAGCTGGAGGTGCCCCACTGCGGCCGGGAGGCACTCCTGGGCGTTCTGTGTTCCGGTACTTCTATTTCCTTTTTCCAAGCCTGCCGTGTCTCCTTACGGGTACTCTGGCTTGTTGATGCCTTTGATTGTTCGGGCAGCGCAGCCGTTGTGACACCTCGGGCCTTAGTGACTTAGTGCTGGCTGCTCCCGGCATGACGATGATACCGCTCGTGCTGTTGGGGTCCTTGTGGATCTCTGCCGCTGGATCAGAGGATTGCCACGATCAGGGGCAAGTGGGGCTTATGCAGCTGAAGACATCGGCAGCGGTGAAGTTGGGCTGGGGCAAGTCTTCCCCCAAGGCACCAGCGCAAAGCACCGAAGGGGCAACACCTGCTGACACAGTGCGTCAGTTCTGCAATGCCACAGGCCTTCTGGACATGCACGGTGCCTTGCAGAATGGTGGAGATGCTGCTCAGTCGTCAATGGAGGAAACCGTGCTTCAGTCCGTTGCACAAACGGTCGAGGTCAACAACGTTGACAAGGTGGCAAAAGACATGTTCACTATGTACATTTGCGTCCGGTGGGTGCCGGACTCTGTCTTTTGGCATTTAGCTCGACAGGAGCTGGCCGCAGACCTTCTGGAGGCTGTTGTAGACAAGCAAAAACATGTAGAGCAGGCCATCGCAGAGCTGTATCAAACCTACAAGTTCGTGCCACTGCTTTGCTCGAACAACATCAATGTCTTCGAGGACAAGGACCCCCAGGACCACACTTATTTCAAGGCCTTCGAGGGGCGCATATCAAGACTGATGAAGTGGCTCCATGATCATGGGAATGGTACTGTCGCACAAAAACTCGCATCGGCGGACGAGATCTTCTGTGGCTCCGCAAACATGAACGATCCTTCATGCGGCCGCAAGCAGAAGTTTGATGAGTGGATGAACCGCATGACTCGCGGCTTTGGCTCCTGGCATTGGGATGCCGCGAGCAGCGAGGAAAAGTGGAGTGCAATGGCTTCGATCTTCGCTTCATTCGGGAGTGATGCGACAGGTACGCCTGATTGGACAAAGGACATGAAGACCTGGAAGGAGATTTTCCCTTACCACAGCTTCGTCAGCAAGCAGTCCGGTATGCCATCGGCTTCATCGCCCTCTTCGAAACAACGCTTCCTTGCTTGCTTCGGAAAGCGTGTCGCGAGTGAGCTCCATCGCAGGCCTTCCGGACGGTATGTGCTAACCGACCAGAACAACTTGGGCTGTCATGGATTCTGGGATGCGGAGGAGCTCACCGACATGCTGGAGAGAACCGTGGCATTGTGGCGGCCTCCGACGTGCCAGATGGCGCTCATGACCTACGACATCAAGCGCAAGATCTTGCTAATGTACTCCCAGATGAGCAAGACTTTGTTCAAAGCCTTGCCTTCCATGGTGAATGACGAGGAGTTGAGTGAACGAGGTCTCCTGGCCTCCGCAGTTGAAGGGCCAGGGCGCTTCGACCCTAGCCGGGTCGTTGAAAATTCTGTCCACTATGTCGATGGCATGCGAGTAAAGGCCAAAGCGGCTTTGCGCTGGCCAGTGGGCTGTGAGCCAAGCTGGTTCACAAGCACAAATGCCTGTGATTTGGAGGTGGAAGAGGGAGAGTACGGCACTGTGCAGAACACCGAGGGCAAGTTAGCCGTGGTGTGGGATCAGGATGAGAAATCGCAGCGAAGACTCGTCCGAGCAAAGGACGTTGCTGTGGTTCCTCGCGGCTGGGGACCGTCTAAAACTCTCTCCTCAAGAGCTTGGGACATGGTGTCGGGCATCGGCAGTAGCATCTCCAGCTCCGCCGAAAGTTTGGTTGCCTCTTTGTATAGCCCTCGACAAACAAGCTTGGCGCATTTGTTCAGCGGCTCTGTGTCAAAGTGGATCGTCTGCCCCATTCGGAACGATGCCGACTTAGAGGCCTTGGACAGCCAGCTTGGCGTCGAAGATCCGGCGATGCAGGACTGTGCGCTAGAAGCAATATAGTCCTTAATAAGGGAAGGATTCTTGTCTATGGTGCTTGATAAGGTAAGGATTCCTGTCCTTGTGGATGTCTTGTACCCGGCGGGTTTGCCTCGCCCTTGCCGCACTCATCTGCGCGCTTTATAGGATGGCCCAGCAAGGCATTCCGTTTCCGAATACTGAGGCCCCCAGGGGCTGGGTTTAGGGTTTAAGACTTAGATTCCGCGCTTGCCTTGCCCCTTCGCTGCGCGAGCGGCTAGCGCTCATCCATGTGGGAGTTTCCCAAAATTAGGGGTACCATAGTTGGGGTTCTTAAAATAAGGATCCTACTATTTGGGATACTATATTAGGGTCCCCTATCTTCGGAAACCCCCATATACAGCTCATTGATAACGCGAAGTGGTACTTGTCGGGAGTAGCCCCGAGGCCATGTGAATGAGCCTGAACCCTGAAGCTTCATGAGGACCTTCAGGAAGAGGCCTACTCTTCCTGGACGGGCCATTCCGCGGCTGTTCCTGGCCAAAGCTGCACTACCCCGAGTTTCAATGCGGCGCTCTTCCCGAAGAGCCAGAGCTGTGAAATCTCTGAGTTGCACTCGGATTCTTGGTTAGCACTACTTATTATTATTATTATTATTACTATTATTATTTTATTATTATTACGATTATGATGGTTGTTATGATTGTTATGATAACATCATTACTACCTTGGTTGCTCAGCCTCGTCTCCGAGTGAGAACACCAGGGTCAGCTTCATTTTCGGCACCTCGAGGCAGAAGGATTTCACGGCAGTGCACAGCAGGTCCTAACCTAATGTAGAGGCCGTAGTAAATTCAACAATTACCTACACAATTTCGGTGGTTTCTTAAAACACATATCGTATAATGGGCCCCCAAAACCCTAGTCTATTTCTTAAGGCCTCTACATTGCAGCAGCAGGGATGACCGTGCAGTCGAGCGTTTCTTGACTTGCGACCTTGACGGGATGCTAGACCGATAACAATGACAACTTTAGTAAGTTGCTTAGGTTTCGTCGGAGACGGATGTGTGGGATTCCAAGAGACGTCCGAGGATCACCCAGAAAAATACACGCAGAACGGAGTTGCAGAGCCTTTCCTCTGTCCGGCGAAAGCGCTTCTCCCCGCCAGCGAGCAACTGGATGTACTGCTCGCGAAACGTGGGCAATGCTTTCTTCACATGACTTCAGAGCAACTCAGACACTACCAGTGGATGCACAACGGCGATTTTCCGGCAAGGAGGCAGTATGACCGTAAGCCGAACCTTCCTCGAGTTGGGTATGAGCTTATCAAGCTTCTCCGAGTGCCAGAGAGTGGTGCTGGTGAGGTCTCCTATGCAAGAAGCTGCAGCCCAGACGCGATGCATCGAAGCCCTCGTTTCTGTCGTGCGACTCGATTCCACAACAAGTGGGCGACCTTGACAGAAATTGCGAGCACTCTTGGCTCTGCAGCTGTTGGGTCTGTGGCAATGGGCACAGCATCT